ATTTTATTTAAAATCCTAAAATTTTAAGTTTTAGTAGAAACAGGAGCAGAAGATCGACTTAACCTGAGATATACATCAATTCCAAAATAAATATTATTAATCCTTAAAATTTTTAAATTACATTTGTAATAAGATAACCAATTTTTTCTGGCCAAAATTCTGGACACTTTCATATTTTTCCTAAGCATACCGATATTAAAATCATAAACAATCATAATAAGTTAATAAAAAATAAATAATTATAAAAATAAATAAATAACAAATGATCTAAACTAGTTATGGTTTATTTCTTTGTTTGTCGTCCTCATATCTCAAATAGGGAATGGAATTTCATTAAATAATTAAGTGAAAATGTAATTTTTACTATAAAACAATATCAAATAAAAATATATTATTATATTACAACTCACAGATGATATAAATTCTTTCTGTCGAGGTATGTGGGCAATTCATATAAACTATCATTGATTTTATTTTTAAGTATAAGACCAGAGCAATAATATTTTACATTATTATTATTTTTTCTTTTGTTTTAATATTTACAATCTAACATGTTTCTGTCTTTTTTTGTCAATTTTTAAATTACGAAATAATTTAAAATCAACTGCACGATCACTTCGTTAAAACAAATAATAAATATCTAACTACATCATATGAAGTCGTAAATAATAATAAAATATTACGTGATAACAAATGAATATTATACTATATTATTATATATTATATATTTTATATGTAACAAAAAAGCAATTCTTCTTTTTCTCAGAAATTACATACCGCGTTGTTATCGGCGCCATCATGCATTCACGGTTTTACACTTAAATTGAGCAACTCCATCCTATTCGGAAAATTGACCTTATCGACACAATATCAAAAGAATTATTTTTATAGGAAGTAACAGTGACAACTCTACATAAGCCTGCATAAATATAAAAATTAGATTGAAAACATTTTTCATGATTATTTTGTTTTTCCACTACCCTATGACTTCATGAATTTCATGATCAGTGACGTTTGAAGTATCGAGATTAACATCATAACATTCCTCGAATTTTTACCATTCCTGGTCCCAATCAACTTTCTTATTGATGAACTCTCTAGGACGTGGGGAAACCGGATGTCAGCCAACTCCAAAACATTCAAAGTACAACCAAAATTTGTTTTCAGTTTAAGAGCATATCGAAGCAACATTTAATTCATTCGCCAAAACACAATTAGTTGTACATCTTGGGAGAAGTCATTGTTTGTTCACAAAATATTTTTTGAATTTTTACAAAACATTATTGGGCTCAAAACACCTTAGATTATTATCAAATAACATACACGCAAGTTGCTGATTATTATTGAACCATTGCTAATTAGAAAATCCATATTCAAAGGAGCCATTGTTTCTATGCCATCTATGTTCAGCTGATCTTGACACCTGCTAAGGTCAAGGAGAGCGGGGTATTTTACTTCACTAAGACAGAATATTTCATTTTGAAAAACATAACAATCAATATAATTTTCACCTTAATCAAGAAATTATACTTTCAATAATATTCTGTTATTTATTAGTTTAGTTATTTCGATCTGTTAGCAAAACTGAATAATTATAAAGTCAGTGTAAATAGTATTAGGGCACTTGGAAACGTAACTGAAAAAAAATGGTACAGATATAAATTTATGCATTTATTTCATTTTCAGTAACAAAATTTAATTCATAAATTTATTGGCAGTATAAGCATAATGGTTAACACAATTTAACAACACAATAGTTTGGGCGCTGATGACCTGGATGTTTTCGCCTAGACATCGAAACAAACAAACAACACAATAGATATATTTTTTATCAAATAAATTATTTGAAAAATGTAGATGATTTATAAACAATAAGTATTGGGACACATGAAAAAACATTAACATATTCCCCTTTTTTTTACATTAATATTTTGTAATACTCTCCGAAGTCGCCTTGGCATTGATTCTACTAACCATTAACGACGACTCAATCTTTCCTCACTCTTCTTAAATCACACGCTTGCCTTCGATTTTGTTACTAATCATTCTTGTTTTATTTTTTGTTCCAAAAAATCCCATAAGTGCTCAATGGGATTGAGATCGGGTGACTGGGCTGGAGTTTCAAGTCATTTTGGCTTGTTGTACAGACAGTAAGTAGTCAGAGCCGAGTATTGAGAGCTTTACGTTTGGAGTCATTATTTTGATAAAAGGCAAATGACTCGGAAATCCCAAATATTTCAACTGATGGTTTCTAATGTTGTTTTAAAATATGCACATACTGTTTGTAGTCCATATTCCCTTCAAGAAATTCCAATGTCCCAACACCGGCAGTACTCATACACCCAAACCAGCTTTTGACCCACTTCCATGTTTGACATTTGGAAACAATTTTTTTTCCCTAGCTCAAGATTCTTTTTTCCTAACATTTTCATTTTCCGTCCGAGCCAAATATAATGAACTCTCATCCGTGAAAATTATGCTATTTCAAAATGATTGTGTTTTATTGTTATACTCATTTGTATAACTTAGTATTTTTGTTCTATTCTGTTCACTGACAAAACGTTTTTTCCTTGACACCCAACCATGAAAATTCGCATTTCTCATAATATTTCTGACAGATACTACTTTCTTATTATTTAGATTATATTCTGCGGCTAACTTTGGAGCAGAATAACGTGGGTTTTTAGCCACTTTTCTAACAATTGATCTTCTATCCTGCTCAGAAAATATTTTCGACATAGCACTTCTTTGTTTATTGTTAAAACTTTTGGTTATTCCGTATCTAACTTTTGTACTCCAAACAGCCATTCTTAGAATTCCAATTATTGCAGACATTTCCCTTATAGATTCGCATTGGTTGTGGAGGCAGATAACAATTTTCCTTTCTCCCACACATGTTTTCTTCACTTTTCGTTCCATTTCAATTAACATGGTTAAGTTTACAGAAAATGACTGAAATATTCTACAAAAACGTGAGAAAAACGATACAGAATGAGAAAGAGGGATTAGTGAAGTAAATAATAGCAAAAGGATTAAAGATAAACTATGTGTTCCAATACATTTTGCTAGTATTTTGCTTACACTATTATTTCATTAAACATTTCCAGTCAGTCTAGTTTTCGAAACTTTAACATGTGAATGATAAAATTTTATCATGAAAGTAAGCAAGCAGAAAATATACTGTTGGAATTTAAGAAGAAATATATATATTTTCAATATTTTTTACCATACCATCATACCATATTTTTTACTTTCACATACCTATATATGTAATATATAGTAAGGGGAAGTATTATCGGGAAAATTTTCGAATCTGAGTTTTCAACGGAAATACACGATTTAAGGTCCTCTGAGCTCAAATAACCACATCCCCCAAAATGGCGTGTGTGTGTGAACAGAGTCGTATCACAGGCGGATCTACAGAGGTGGAGGCTTTCAGGCTGATACACCCCCTCGACAAAATGGTAAAATATAACCATGTTTTATGAAAAAAATTATCTCTAAAAGTATTATCGTTCATCTAATTACATTTAATAAGACTTCAAGAATCACTTAAACACAATTTAATATAGGTATTCAGTTTCTTTCTTTCTTCCTATGTAATTATTTTAATATATACCTACAAAAAAAAAAAATCTTTCGGGCTATAGCCTTCCCTCAAAAATGAAATCCCGTCTCCGTTAGTGAGTTGTACGAAACTGAAATTTAAGATTTCAGATTTGTATATGCCGAGGATGTTAAAGTAACTTTTTCGTAAAAATCGGCAAACCAAAAGTGACACTTTATATAATCGATTAAACACATTTTTACGATTTCTCGAAAACGGCTGTAACGATTTTGATTAAACTTGGCATATCAGTGTACTATTAATTTGTGTTAATATCAGCTAGGTCTCATTCACATTCATGTGATTTTACAGGAATTAAATTCTCACTGTTCACATACCTCTTCCTCTAAACTATCTTTAATTTGGTTTATTTTAAAAATGAACTCTCTCTTATTGACAGCAACTATAAAAATGGCAAAATATGAAGTTTGAAAGAATTTGATAATTGAAAAATGGAGAAAAAAGGAATATACTTAAGTCGAAAATGAATCCCCGAAAATACTAGTCTTTTCTCTTACTTGGACTAGGTGTCCTAATACTTTTTACACTCATTGTATAAATCGCGGATTAACAATGGAGGGAGGCCACAATGGAATCCTAAAGGTGCGTTCAGACAGTTCAGTCTATCGGAAACTCGATTATCTAACTTAATTAATACCGCCTTTAGAGCTAAATCCAACTTTTAAAAAAATTTCTCTTGTTACCATGAGCAGATGGAAAACATCAAAAACAAGAAACAAAAACACTATCATTGGGAAAAACTTTGAAATATTTGTGTTCCCCGTAGTTTGTGTAATGTCTGAATGCACCTTAATAAGTTTGTAACTAGTGCTATACTTTATACTACAATAAAATATTTTTTAATCGTTACAGAAAAATATTACCAAAAACTTTCTTTCACAAAGGATAAAAGTGTGCTGGCGGAGTGACTATTAGAGATATTTCACAAACGTAATTTAATTAAACCTTCTGTCATTAAAACTTATTATAATTACTTAAACTGACTTGGTACTTTTTTAATTTAAAAAAAAATATTAAATATGAAATAAGTTATTTATTATTTCTTTATTGCTATTAAGTGCTCATATGCTCTAATTAGGGCGAGAAGGAAGGGTTATTCTACAGGCATCCAGCCTATTCTAGCCAAACTGAAAAGAGTTGAAATTCATTGCATAGGTTTTTATAAAAACTCCGTCGCTCTGGTGGCATATGTAAAACATTAGAATGATACATTATTTAAATAAAATAATTCGTTTTAGAATAATGAATGAAGCTCAATGATTGCCTATGTATGTCAAAGATTTAATATTATTTATTAGTTCAGGCCTTTTCTTTCCATTGTCCATCAAGGTAATCCATCATCTATCTACAATATATTTCTTATATATTACAGATTAGTCACAAATGGGGGAAGAAACTGAGAAAGTTTCCATAAAATTGGAACGCAGCTGGCCAAAAGTTCTATTTCATTTACATTTGCATATTATTGCTGCTTATGGCTTGTGCATTCTCATCACTCAAGCCAGTTGGTCTTCAGTTCTACTCTGTAAGTATTAGTTAAACAAAACATTTTTTTTGTAATGTCCAAATATTGCTTTTTGAGTCATTTGTTATCTAGCAGCATTCTTAATCTTGCTTATAGGACTCCTCCCTTTTTTCTATTTAAACTATTGATTTATCCATCCTTTAATGAATTTATCCTTTTGCCATCTATATGCAAATGGCCTTTAAATTCATCTTTCATAGACTTTTAATCCTCTTTTTTATAGTAGAATAAACACCTTATGCACTGTTTGGTTTTATGCTGTTTAATTCAGGGAAATAAATTTCCACTTTTTTTTCAAATTGTTATAAATATATTATCATATTACTAGATTGTACGATTTGCCGTTCTGAAGTTGTAGGATGTTTATATCAGGCTTACTTTCTAATACAATCAAAACTTACATTTAGATCAATATGATTTTCATATTATAAAACAATGTTTCCACGATTGGTCTTGTGACAACATTTTCTTTCTTAGGACTATAAATATAATTTCTTACGTCAAGTAATAATTTCTTTACTCAACATAATTTGATAAAGTTATTAATTTTTTTTTTCAGTTCTAGGACTTGTTTGTTGGGGTACTGTGAGTCTTACACTTGGATGCCATAGGCTATGGGCCCATAAAACTTACCAAGCTTCTCTGCCACTAAGGATTTTTCTAGCTGCTGGCCAGCTTCTAGTTTGTGATGTAAGTAGATATTAAGAATAAAACTTAAAATATTTACTTTATTACTGAAACCAATTTGGACAGGTAATTCAAAAATATGTGGAACAGAACAAAAGAAAATTATTCAAAAAATATAAATTTATTACCTTAAACTTTTAAAACAACTGCCTAGGCACTATAGTTATTTAAAGATACTGAGTAGGTATTCTTTCCTATCATCATACACGTTCAGGCAAGTTATTAAAAGTTTTATGTCAACTACAATATCTTTTCAAAAGACAAGAGAGTAGCCAGCATATAAAAATTATGTTTCCTATAGAAGAAAATTGTGCTAACTTGATCTTTTTTAAAATAGAGGTTATTCATTTTTCTGTTGGTTTTTTTTCAAAATATTTAAATATTAACAATCAACCTGTCCCTGCTAATAACTTTTTCAGAAATTTTTTGTTTATATGTTTGCCTATTTAATTTTTAATTTTTTCTATGTTTGGAGGGAGAGTGTAGTTTTTCTCACCTTGTCCCCTCCTTGCTTGCCATACCATTCCAACACTGCCAGAAAAAAAAGTTTCTATTGTTTGTTATGGTTGAAAAGGAGGGAATAAGATAACAATAAACATTAATATCAAAACTGATGATTTTGATGATGCCCAATGGCCCCGGGCAAGCTCTTCCTCTTGCATCTAATGCACTACTTTACATCTACTTTACATATTTTTAATTTAATCTGACAGTTAAGAATATAATACTTTATAAGAATATAAGAATATTTCTTATAAGAATATTCTTATTTCTTATAAGAATATAAGAAAAACTTTATAAATTATTGACACATTATAATACAAAGCTTATTTACTTATATAATTATTTTATTAATGTAAGTAATAACAAAATGAGCTATGATAATATCTCAAATAATTTTGTAGTCATGAGTTTAAATAAATAAATTTTTTTAAATTTCAGGGATCAATTATAAGTTGGGTCTCTTGGCATCGTTTACATCACAAGCATCATGGCACAGACTTGGACCCGCATGATCATAGAAGAGGTGTTTTCTTTGCCCAATATGCTTCACATTGTCTTGCAGATAACCCAGAACAAGAGAAAGCTAAAAAACAAATTTCTATTGATGATTTAGAAGAAGATAGTGTTACCTACTTTCAGAATTTGTAAGTACTTATTACCCCGCGAATAATGATGCTTCTATTATCTATATATGTATTAGAAAAATAATCCTGATTGTATTTGCCCTCGGCCAGCAGAAGGACCAATCAAGGAGACATATATTTGTATATTTTAATTAATTTAATGCAATGTAATTTAAATAAAGTTCAAATAAATGAGGATGAGAAAAAATAATTGTCTTAAGACTGATCTTATAGATTTGGGTTGCCATGTTGGCAATGATTTTTGGTGGAATTAATATCAAACTTCAGGGTCTCTAAGCTTCTTTATTATTTATAATATAAGTCTGAGCTTGACTTCCATTTCATTTCATTTATTAGTAAAATTATTTTATATTCTTCAAGTTGATATTTTGGGGGCTTCAGCCCGTAAGTCTCTCTCCCTCCGTAGATCCGACTGTGACATGAAATAAGGTTTTAAAACATTTTTTTTTTTTTAAATTATGTACATCATTTTTAATATTATATACATGATCTTCCTCTCGTCAGTAAATTCATGTGAATTTTGTCCTCCTCACATATTACCAATTTGGTTTTAGAGAACACCATTCCACAATGAACCCAATACAACTGCTGAAATGAAGCTTTTCAAAGGAAAAAACATCTCATTGCTTAATGCTTTATTCTTGGATATTGAAAAAGCCTATGATATCATGTGGAGATGGCGAGTCTTGGATGTTTTATGAAGATTGAATATTGAAAGGAAGACATGGAAATACATTATAAATTTTCTAATGCATAGAACATTCACTGTTATGGTTGGTTCTTCGGAATCCACAATATACACGACAGAGAACGGTACACCCCAAGATTCTCCACACAGTGCGACCATTTTCCAGGTCTTAATAAACGACATAGCAGGAGTTTTTGTTAAACCAGCAAAACTTATATATGCAGACGATATATTGCTTTATGCACAAGCAAATGGATTAAATTTCTAGAATGAAAAATTCAAGAAGCCTTTGACAACATAGGAGCATGGTCGACTGAGAGTGGTTTCAGACTGTCAGCTAACAAAACCAGAGCCATGCACTTTTGCAGGCTAAGAGGATCTACACTCAACCCCATAATATGGATGGAAGGTTTCGAAATTACATTTGTTGATAATTTCAAATGCCTTTCCTCGTCTTTAAGGCTATACAAGGTTTTCCCGGACCAGGGAGTGAGAGTGGGGATTTAAAAGACTCCCCCGGCACCGGGATGCGAACTCGTGACTATTTTTTATCAACGTCTTATATATCAGGTTGCCAGGCAATGGTGGTGCAATGCACACTCCTTAGCCCATTTGGCCACTCCACCCACTACCTGGTGATGCACTTGGATTGATCGCTTCAATGGACACTACACATAAAAATACTTAAATAAGAATGTTTAAAAAGAATCGCCCTGCTCAAATGTCTTTCCCATACAAACTGGGGAGTAGATAGGAAAAGTCTATTAAATATATTGGGATGGCAAATAAGTCCTTTCAGATTTTCTGTTTATTTTTATGTCACTATGATACAATTCTTATCTGATGAATTAATCTCTAAGGTGGATTGTTTATCCTGTTTATAATATGTCAACAACTATATCTCTTAAATCTTGTTGAAACTAGCTTAGTATTGTGCTTGCTATTGCACTGTGAATATGGAAGAAAATATCGGCATTCATTATCAGCATATTTAGGTTTTTCAAAAATAACAAAAAATGTTATAACTTCAATACAACTTTAACTATATACAAGAAATTCAGCAGAAATTAAAGGCCACCTAAACTACACAATATGACATCAACAGAACCTTGTAAACAAACTACAAATGGAGATAAAAAATAAAAATCTATAAGGAGTTTTTGTTTATTTATTCCTTATGTAGGCATTAGATCAAAAAACCATCCATGGCTTTGAATAGCAATAATACATCTTTCGAACGGATATAGTAACATCAAATTTGGAGAAGATCCTGTAGACATATGAATGATCGGAAGGATGTTGCGTTCTACCAAGATAACGCTAGGCTCCACACCTTATTGGTCACTCACAATAAATTATTGAGCTTTGGATGGGACCTTTTGTCCTACTCTCTATAATCACCAGACCTAGCTCCAAGAGACTACCACTTATTTCGGTCTCAGCAGAACTCCATGAATGGAAAGAAATTCCAAAAGGAAGATGATATCCAAAAACTACTTGGATCAGTTTTTTTTTTTTTTTTTTTTTGTAAAATGTTGTACACAACCCAGTACAAACTTTAGAATTTGTACTGGGGCATTGTCAACCACATCAGTAGAAAGTCTGGTACCAGTTCCAATGGCTGGCTATCAGAAAGATACAGTACTTTCTATCAAAGCAAAAACTAATTCCTTGATATGGAAAAACAAAAAATGCAATGTGATATATACTGATAAAAAGTGAACAATGAAGTAGGATGTACTATTGTCAATTCCCATAGCCAAAAGTATTTCAAAGTTACGGATATCTGCTCTGTGTTTAGTGGAAAGATGATTGCAATAAGAAAAGCCTTAGCGTACATTGAGACAATCGATAGTAACAATTTGGCAATGATAACGGACTCAAAGAGTGCAATTCATGCCATTGAAAATAAAAAACCGACTACCACTCTGGGAAGAGCTATTAGAAATATTTGGTGGAAAAGAAAAGGGAAAGGAAATAAAGTTATTCTGGATCCCTTCACACTGTGAAATTGTCGGAAATGAACAGGCAGATAAAGCAGCCAATATGGCCAGAAAGCGAGAAAGAAATCCGACAGTTATAATTAACGATATTCCCGTAGGAGATTTATTTCACAACATATCAATAAAGAAATTGGAAAATGTGGCAGAACAGATGTCACCAAAAAGAAATAAAAAGCCACTGTTCTAAATTGAAAACCTGCAACCGACTCTCTAGGAAAGAAGAGACAGTCCTGTACTGATTAAGTATTGGACCCTGTGAATTTTCAGATGCCTATTTACTAAGAGGATTGGAACCACCGACAAGTAAGAGCAGTAAGGTGCAAAGAACAGTCCAACATATCATCTAAGACTGCTCAGTATTTAATAATATAAGAAAAAAAATTAGGTATGAAGAGAAAATGTAAAAGAAAAGCTGGTAGACAATGAAAAAGCTGTGGAAAAAACTTTGAATTTTTTAAAAATGATAATTTCTATAACAGAGTATAAGGTGTTGCCAATGGCCCTACAGGGTAGAGACAACAATAAACAGGATTAAATAAATAAACTTAATATGTTATTAATTAAGATTAGATGGCCTTAGATGATGTATAACATTAATTATTTATGGCTAATTAATATTTTTTGCTTTGCAGACTGTATGTCATCCTTATGCCAATAATTGGCATTATACTCCCAGCCAATGCTGCTATGGAATACTGCGGAGACTCATTTGCTGTTGCATTTTTTATGATCGGTTTCCTTCGAGTTGCCATTCTCCTTAATTTATCCTGGCTAATACATTCAGGATATCTTATTTGGGGTCTTGATCCTATGGACAAGTAAGCTATATTTTTAATACTAAATAAAAAAAGTTAAATTCTTAATTTAATTATATTATAGAAGCGTAAATATGTTATACCATTGTGCAAAATAATGTAAATATTTCCAAATTTTAAGATTTTGTTATAATTTGTCATAAAGAGTGACAGAGTGAAATTAACAGTAGATTGTTGGTAGAAAAAATCAACAACCTACTTAATTTTCAAATATTCTAACAATATGTCATAGTAAGCTGTCAAAAGCAACTTTTGTTATTTTTTCTGGTTTCCAATAATAGTCTAATCTTCAAGCGGTGGAGGGAACTAAGTCCAAAAGTGTGTTTTTTTATTTGATTAGACAATCTTTTGATATTGTACCAAGAATTATCATTTCATGGTGAAAATAACTAAGTTGTTATTACAGCATACTTATTACCATTATAAAAACTTTGTTCTTTTCTCCATCAACCAATGAGCCTAAATCAAATGATAGGATTGTCAAATAATTACAAAAAAACATATTTTCCTTCACCACTTGATGAATCAATTAATAAATATACAGTTTTTTTTTTTAAATATGGTTGCAATTATGGAATAAATTCTGGGAGATATATTCATATAATATCATCAGAAGAACCCATAATTATTAAAATGATTACAATAAAGTTGGATACCTTATTTACCTTGACTACTCATCTAGATAGGGTTTTGTTGTGGTTTACATAATTACCACTCTAAGTATTTAGTTTAAGATTTTCTTATTAATCAAGGAAGTGTGATATTTTCGTTCCCTCTTTGTATTTTAAATAGCTAAAAGAAATTATCTAATCATTGATCTGATCAGAAATCTGATAATTGTTTTAACTTCCAATTTTAAAGCTTGTTGTTTAAGAATTGAGTTATTAAGTATCAACTGTAGTTTAAATTACTGTATAATTTTGAGTGGATATGCCAAAATTCATCAAAATTTAGACTTATTTTTCAAATCTTATTTTTCAGGCGTTCAAGTGATACATGGCTAGTATTTTTCTTCAATAAGTCACTTTGGCCTCAGTATCACTACTTGCTTCCATGGGATTATAGATCTGGAGAATTTGGAACATATGATAGTGGATGCAGCACTGCCATTCTTAAGGTTTTTGCAGCACTTGGTCTTGCAACTGGACTCACAACGATTTCCAGAAACGGGGTAAAGAAAGCTTTAGCAGCTGCAGTTGAGTCGGGGAAGCCTGTAGTGGATTGTCTTGATGAGCATAAAATGGTCTTGCTTGACATTATCAACCCCGATCCAGATAACAACTAACTTCTTAATTTATAAAAGATTGTCTAATAACAAAGACTGTCGAATTAATATTAAAATATTGTATAGTAAATTATTAATTATCAATTCTATTGTTAAAATTTTCATAAAGTTAGTTGTAAATATTCATGAGAGACTAAAATAAATTAAATGAATACTAGTGTCATAGGAAGGAATTTTAAGTATAATCAATCATCGGTTATAAAAACAAAATTGTTAAATCTGGAAAAGTTAGTGCTCCTGGACGATCTAAGCATGAAATAATTTTTGGATTATCTATTATATCAAGAAAAACATTTTAATTCAGGAATCATTATTAAATGATGCTAAAAGATATCATATAGTCTAGTCATAGCAGACAATGATATAAACAGAAAAGTGAAATTATTTACTGATAAACTATTATACGTTAAATTGGCAAAGTATATTGTAATCATTAGAAACGATCCGGCACCTTGGATTAGTGCAGATATAAGTCAATTGACATAACAGCAGAGATGGGCAAATGCTACACCGAGTACCAAGAACCAAGTATTTTACTCAAATTGAATCACTTTTGGGAATTTAATCACTACTTCAGTTGATCGTTTGACATCAACTGAAGTAGTAATACGTGGTAGTCGGTACTTATAGTAACATTTGCCTGTCTCCGCATAACAGAAGTAATATGCCTCATATTAAATCCAACATATTTCAAACATCTACTGAAGGAGAACATTTGGGAGTGCTGAGAAATTAAAATAAATAAGCAGTAGACAAAATAAATACATAATGTTATCAGTTGAAATAGTGAAATCTCCAAAGAAAATCTGGAAAGTACTAAAAATAAATAAAGTACTAATAAATAACACCAGAGAGCCACAAACATATGGTTTATTGCAAGAAAATTTTTGAATAGAATTATTTATTATCAACTGCAGAAATGTGTTAATAATGATGAAGTAATAAATGCATTCCAGACAGGATAAGGAAAGGAAAGAGAGAGCGCAGAGATTTAATTTGGATAACAGATAACTAACAACCTTTATATCAGTTTATTTCAGTTGAACTTTTGATTTCATAATAGCTCCTAACAACAATTCTCAAATCAAATCAAATAAGTGATAAAAATACCTAGCTATTTTAGTCATGTTTAATCAAGACAGAATTTATATTTAAATTACTTAAGGCAACATGTCAACTTCTAAAATAAAATTAGGCTCAAATTTATCTGCTCTACTCTTCGTTATATACTTAAAATGATTTCTGTCTGTATTACTTTCTGTAATCATTTTATTTATGTTGATTAATTGCGGATATAATTAAAGGCAAGTATTGTAATGTAAATAGTGCCATGAATAAAGGAAATCTGAATCTCAAAAATATTATGAAATGATGTGGCATGTTAATTCATGCAAATAAATCTAAAAGAATAATCTTTAGACTTAGGATGTTCTAAAGAAAATATATCTGCGACCAATATATAAAATTAAAATAGGAAAAATCCTTGAGTATGAGAATCAAGTTGAAAGTTTCTGAAATATTATCATATTTTCACATCAGTGAAGACTGCTACAAAATATTTAAATTAAAATATATGTACTTACAAAGATAAGTAAATTTACTGTAACTTTTTTCAATCAACAGAACTACAGGAAATTCTAGTTCATTCAGGAATAATCCTCAATTCAACTACGAATTTGGCTGACTCTATGATAACTAATTGCTTTACTGTTTTGTTTATAATTTATTTATCCCTAATTGGTATATTATAATATCTATTTTATAAGTTCTTCTATTGAGAAATTAATAATAAATTCACAAATTTATCAATTTCCTTGCTGATCAAGTGTCCGTCCCTCCAAAATGTTGTTTATTCCTATTTTAACTATATAAAAAAAAAATTTTGAGATGGAAAACAAAAAAACAAGATTCAGTTTCTCAAACTTAAAATTGAGCTTATAGTAGGTATCAAAAGTGCTATATATAAATTTATTATTAATTTAACATTTCAATAATATAATTACTTCAATAAACATAATAGGGCATGCAGCATACTATATGCTATATCAATAGATATCTTAATTGATTGAAAGATGCATGTTTATTAAGTAAATAATATTCCAATATATACAATTCTGTAATAGCAAATACATGATCTTAAAAAATTGATTCAGTTCAACATGTTGGCCATTTGGACATAGTAATATTACATTGGTAATATAAAATTCAAATAAACAGGTATTTGTGACGAAAGTTATTCATTTATTACCCTCACCCTCTACAAATATAAATGCATCTTAAATTATCAAAGGAAATTAATATAATGATATGATAAAATTATAACAATTTATTTTTTTAAATACAGAAATCAATTTTCAAAAAATGGAAAATTAAAAATAGTAATCGTTCAACACAAGTGGTTTAATGCAATCAGTTAATTGAGGTACTACATTTAAGTCATATTTTTATAATCTTAAGGCCATAGAAATGGATAGAAATAAATAAAACTAAAGAAGAGTGCTTTAAAACAACTGGGCAGTTTAAGTGATTTTCAGAAGACTTTTCTCATAGGCCAAACTCATTTCATTGCCACTATAAGTGTAATTATGGGGAAAAACATCATGACGACTACGGTCAATAACACACATCATTACTTGGTTTCTCTAATAGATTTTTCTGGTTTTAATGCAATAATCAAACATAAAACTAAATTGGTAAATATCAGATGACCTTGCAGCAAACTGCTAGGTACAGGAAAAACGTGTGATGGGGATTCTATCCTCCAATTCTAAACACTTACATTTTGTTCGTTATGGCTACAATATGTTAAATTAATGGCAGTACCTATAAACTTAAGCAACCCACATCTTCAGATGTCATTAAAATGATAGCAACAAATCAAAGTGATCATTTATCATCACTATGATAGTATATAAATTAATCAGTATTTTAAAGCTACTTTTGTGAAACTACTACTTAGACTCAATTAAACTAACCAATGAGAGTTTTCTTATTGAAAGAGCAGCAAGAAGATATCTTGGCATAATGATATTCATATATTTTAATTATAACTCATCAACGTACATGTCCGATTCGTATAGATGATCAAGTGCAGCTGATTCAAATGAGTAACATCCCATATTTATATGGAAGAAAAAAAAAAGACTGGAGTATGAAATACTAACAGCCAAAACTTGATTTTAATTTAGACATACATATTTATATGAAATGAATAGTTATACAATTCGAACGAATATATGTATTTCAACTAACAGAGATAGACCAATGAATAGATCTTTCTTCACCCTTTCAAGGGTACTGAAATCCAGAAAATTCTCCAGAAATCTAAAAATAAGGGTGTACAATGCCGTGATTAGGCCAGTTCTGCTGGACGGTTGTGAAACCTGGGCTCTAACCGGCACACTAGAAGCCAGAATTGAGATATTCGAAAAAAAAGTTCTCCATAAGATAACAGGACCTATATGGGACCAGAACCTTGACACACGGAGGAGAAAGAACAATAAAGAACTGCTGAAAGAAACGGGTAAGTCAACAACACATGACATAAAGGCAAGGAGGTTAAGATGGGCAGGGCATGTAGCTCTTAGCAATTCATCAGGACGCCTTTTACACAACAATGAATGCCAGAGTAATAGGCAAAAGACCGCGTGAGAGGCCAAAAACCAGATGGATAAACAAAGATATGGCTGAGCTTCATGCCGCAAACTGGAAAGCAGAAGCCCAAGATAAGCAGAGGTGGAGAAGGTTGGTTCTGGCGGCCAAAGATCTAAAAGGTCTGTAGAGCCAACCGGAGATATATATATATATATATATATTGTAATGTACACTTTTAATGGAAGGAAAAGAAAATGGCTACTCTGTAGTTTTCCCAAAAAGAAAAATCCCAAAGAGGGGATGGAACAAAGGATTTGTTTTGACAGGCAGTTGATGTTTGGCTTGAGTGAAGAGAGGATAGGAGAAAGGACCTGTATCCAGTGGGTAAAACCCAGTAATAATATTACCACTTTGGAAGTTGTGTTAGGTAGAACATTGGAAAGCATTTGAAGACAAATGAATTTAGTGCAACAAAGGAAGAAACTTTTATACTTTACTTTATTTTAAAATCAAAGTGTTAAATTTTAGTATGAATAATAATAGTTTGTCTGAGTTGATCTGATTGTCAGTAACCCACACCTGAGATAAATAAATATATTAATACTCTCATAATTTTATTTATTGTTATTTAGTAACCTCTTATTTATTTTGGAAGTATCCTAATGGTATAAAGTGACCTGAACTGCATTGAATTATATTGCTATCAATCATGAATAGTCGAGGCAAAGGCCTTTCTTTTCGCCAGACATTTTATTGCTAGCTGTTTGCAGTAATGGCATTAATCATTCCGCTGGCAGTTGGTAAAACTACGAAGTCTGTTCTTTTCTTAAAAAATCCATTATCACCTTTTCATTCACTACCTTCTGGACCTGGAGGGAGAGGGGATATACGATATTGTAGAACTATTTTTTGTCTTTTAATCTCATACTTAATGTTGCATTTTTAATAATTAAATTAACTTGATTCCAAGAATATGAAAGTTGTGTACCACTTTTCCAGATCGATTTACATTTACATTCCTTAATGATCCTGTAGTATTCATCGTAGTGTGATGTTATAAGTCCTAAAGCTTTTCTTAATATATGTCTAATGAAAAAATAAATCAGACTTTTACCTTAAATTCCATTCAAACTGTTCAGCTCTGGCTGGTCTAGATTAATTTATAAGCGGATAGGGGTAAATTATAAAATAGCCATCCAATGTAGAAGGTGAGTACATGTTAAGTTAAAGGAGAGGCAGACTTTTTTTATTTTTAGTAATTAAACTAAATTAAAGGGAATAACAATATATAAATATAATTTAGCTTTTAATCATCTCTTCAATTTTACTTCTTATTAAAAATAAATAAATAAAAAAAAAAGATGATAGGGAAAAGAATATATATTTTAATACAAAATATATATGTATATTTATTTTTGCAAAAGTAACTGTATCTGTCTTACCCAGAATAATCTAATATCACAATGAGACTTACAAAGAGAAAACATTACATGAAAGATACAAAGATATAAATCCTGGTTTTCAAACAATGTAATACAAAAGAAAAACGAAAATGTAAGCTATCTACTTCTTAGTAAACAGAATTACAGACAATTAAACAATACTTTCAGTTACATTTAATTAAATAACAAATATATATAAATAAAAATAATATCACACTCATTCCTCTTGTTCTTAGGACAATAACAAATAATAATTTCTTAAAAAGAAGCATTTTTAACTAATAATATTTTTAAAAAAGAAGAAAAGAGATTGTAACCAATAACTTACAAAGAGAAAAAAATATTTAAAAATATATTTATGCATTTGTAAATTGCACAAGAGGTGTCTATACACTTAACAATACATCTATTACTAGCATTTTTGTAAAGCCCCAATGCTTGAGATTTGCACGTAATAAAAATATTGTTAACTAATCGGCTAGAATGACAATATGATAAAAACAAAATGTGGGTTAAAGATCGAATCTTTAACAGGAAGAAAAATGTTTAATTAAGAAAAACTGGAAAAAAAAAGATAAACAAAATATACATGGAAGGAACATATTTACTGTGCCATCAACAGTTCTTAATAGTATGTTAGTATATTTTAGGTCAAGAACATTAGTTAATTTTTATTAAAATATTTTATTTGTCAATATTTTTATTGTTCTTTATATAATGTTGAATATAAATATTTTTGAAGTAAAATTGAACTTTTTTAGTTTTTTACTGCATGGATAAATGCAATTTATTGTATTCCTACAGATGTATAAAATAAAATTGCAATAGCAGGTTCATAAGTCTATACAGATACTATTAACAACATTATCAACTATGATCTATTCCATCAACCATCAGGCACTATCAGAAATGCAATACAATCAGTTGATTTATTCATTTTTGTAGATGGTTTCAGCGATCTTGGTATCTTCTTCTGATACAGTTTCATCACCCCAACCCCATGGATGTACTTCTTCTTCTGGATTCTTCTTCACTGGAGCAGATGCCAATGTACCAGTCCTTTGTATACGGCTCTTGATAACATTGTCGGGGACAGTTTTACAGTCATAAGCTTGTCCAATTTTGGCCATAAAGTCGATAAAGGCTGTTGTGAAATTCATTTTGTAATCTCCAAGTTCAGCTGCTTTGTAGTCCCATGGGAATACATGATGGTAGTTGTGCCAACCCTCTCCAGAAGCACCAATAGCAACAAGAAAGTTTTCTGCAGGGTTAATAGTCCTGGAAAGAAAAATGATAAGTTTAATGAAGAATAAACTCGACTACAAAAAAGAATTAATAAATGGATGACAAGATTATCTGATTAATATCATAAAACAATTTTCACATTCCTATTTCTACTAGGCAACAAAAGTATTATAATAGGGTCTAATGTTCTTTATGTGGTTTTCAACAAATCCTAACGTCTCAGAGGCCTAAAAAAACGCATTTAGTATACCAATGTCGTTACTGTTTTTTTTTTTTTTTTTTTTTTTGTTTGTGTGATTTCAGCTTCTGTATACTATCAGGCATGATTTGCATAATACTGGCTGCACAATACCTAAAAACTTGTTTTTCTAAAGACTGTAGCTCCAAAATGGCTCTATTGATTTTGATGTAACTAGAGGTTCAGCTGTTAAAGCCCTTTATACATTTTATACTAGGTTCATTACGAAGAAAAAAGTTATGATGACAGTAACAGTATGCATATAACTAAAAAAATATATAAGTAAAAGAAAAACCTGTATCAGACTAAATTAGTAACAGTGACTTTGTTTTTTTGAAAAGTTTTTCAAACTTGTTACAGTGGAAACTTATCTACTTCATTAGTTTTAGATTCAATCTTCTTTATATGACCAAAAATACAGAGATAATCCTCAAACACTTACTTCTATAAATACAACAATTCTTTTTGTAATAGACTGGTATTATTTAATTAGCAAGTGTTTCATTAACAAGAAATTGGCATATTCTAACATCTTTGGTATTACAATTTTTAATTATATCAAGAAGAACCAAAATCTAAAGTCACAAATATATTTCATACCTGAAGTATAACAATTTAATTTTCTTATGACTTCATTGCCTATACAATGAATGATTTTCATGATTCACAATTGTATACAATAATATTCTAAAAAACATTTTATATCTGAAATATTTTTAAGGATAAAAAATTAATGTTAAGTCAAACTTACTTGTCATAAGGGCGGTTGCCCCACATATGTGCAGCGCTGTTGACCAGCCAAGTCATGTTGAGAGAGAAGCAGTAGCGGAACATTGTAGCAACAAACCAGGAATTGACAAAACTTTCATCCCATAAATACATAGGAATCAATGTGGGTATAATGAAGCAACATATCGGCATCACTTTCAGGTAGTGTCTGAAGAAATAATAAAAAATGTAAATATATTGTATTCAATAGTGAAATTGTTAATACAACAAAATAATTTTTAAAACATAATGATATACCTATGTTGGAACATAACAACAGGGTTGGCTTTCAAGTCCGACATATCAATTCCTTTTCCTTTTTCCCTAATGTCAGGATGCTTTTTACACAAGAGCCAACCAATATGTGAGAAGAAAAATCCCCTTGTAGCATTATGTGGGTCGGCATTTGTTTCAGAATATTTATGGTGAAGTCTATGATCTCTTGCCCATTCGTATATACTATTCTGTAATTGTAAAAATTGAAACTTACAGGATGCATTAAATAAATTTATAAAATCTATTTTACGGAAAGAAAAGAAAAATAACTACAAGAAATCAAACATAAAAACAAGACCTTACTTTTACCGATAAAAGTATAAACAAAGGAAGTGAATAAGTAGATTAATTTAGATATTTTTAATACAATTTTTGTTTTGTATACCTGGAAAGATACAGAGTTGAAAAATGCCAATAGAATTTGGAGAGGATATTTTGCCTTGTATGATCTATGAGACCATAGTCTATGGGCTCCTGCTGTGATTCCAAGGGCAGCAATTTGATACGATAAGATGGCTAGAAACAAAATAGTACACTTTTAGAAACAATCTTTTTTAATTATTTATATAGTTAACATTTTATAACATAATTAAATTATCACTTACCAAAAGCAACTGTTGCCAGTTTTGCTGAAAAGAACATGAGATATAGTCCATAGAGTGCAGCTAAATGAAGATATACAAACAGGATGACATTTCTCCAAACGATTCTCCGTTTATATGGCTTCTTTACAGGTGGGTTTGGAACGGTAGTTTCACAAGTTATCGTTGATGTAACAACGTTTGGTGCCATACTATAACAAATTAAAACAAAACATACACATAAATAACAAATTAATAAAAATCAATGCAATATATTAAACTATATTCTTTCTTTAGACCAAATAATGAAATTCTAGAAAGAAAAAGTTATTTTTATTACAATTAAAATATGCTGAGCAGAAGTTGGAAGAAAGCAAATGAAATAATTTTAAACAATAATGAAAAATTATAAATATAAACTAACATTCTTCAATTAAAACTACAAACCAAAATTATTATTAACTACTTTTAACCTATCCTATACTTTATCTACAATAAAATAACACTAATTAAAATTAAAACTTCAAATTACAAATAGTTCTTTGCGAGTTTACTGGGACTCTAAAACTAGTAGCTACAGATTCATAGCAAATTTTAGTAACCAAATAATACAAGTGCCCTTATAACCCACTTGGGATGGAACCTAACATAACCACTAAAATAAATTTTCTATGAATTAATATAGAATAACTGTTTAACAAAAAGTATTTATTAAATGCTTTCCAATTACTGAAAAAGTTTTTTTTAATTGCTTAATGCAGTAATATTTGTGATTAGGATATAATTGGAAATCCGTTACTTATAATGCGTTTGCGGCGCGATTTTGTTTTGTTAAAAAATAATAAATTAATTAAAGTTGACAACGATGGAATATCAAAATTGATAGGAAACGAAACATAATGTTTTTAAACACATCTTTCACACAAAAACAAGATAATCTATTAATATGCTATTTTGAAAAAAAAAACTTACATACTCCGGATTCATCTCCAAAAAACACTTTTGTAAAATGAAGATAAATGGAGAAAACAGGAATAAATGTATGTTATACATTACAAATTTTAACGTCTAATTTAATCATCTAGAATTGAAATCTACTAGAATTGAAATCTATTTTAAAAGTGAAACAAATAAGGCAGACTAGGTAATCCAGCTGTTGTTCATTCCTTTCATTGCAATTTGTGAACGACTATTTCGATTCAAGAGGTTTTTCGTTGAACCGCGTATTAATACAAAAAGGAGTTTCATCACGTTTATTGAACAAAGTCTGAAGGTGCTTTTAGACATTTTACAAACAATGAGACCAACAAATACATAAATGGTTATTTCTCACTATGCTAGCATTTTTGTTTCTTGTTTTTGATATTTTCTATCTACCGGTATCAATAGGAATAAAATAGTTTGGTTTTGCAAAAATATCGCTGTTAGTGAAGTTGGATAATTGTGTTTCTCATAGGGAAATCTAGGGGAGAAGGAGTGACTTTCGGGCTGAAGCTCTCTCCCCTCCCTCCAAAGTTGTAAAATGTAACCATGTCTTATGAAAACAATATTAAAAATTATCTCTAAAATTATTATTATTGTTGTAATTACATTTAATAGAACTTATGTCTAAACATACCTTGATCTAAAATAAAGTAATATGCCTTGGGTATATTTTAGTCTATTGTCGCTTAACAATATCTTTAAAAAATCATTTTCAATAAAGAACGGCAGAGAAGTTTATATAAAAATAAGGATAAGTATTAAAACCATTAAAAGAATTTAAAAAATATTAAGTCAGAATTTTTTGTCACGTAGTAAAATAACAATAAACATTTTGGAACGGATGTTCTTTCAAAGTTGTATGGTTGGTAATCTTGTTTTCAAGTTTCAACGCATGAATGGTTGACATTACAGGACTCGGGGTAATTTATTTTTAATTTATTTGAAAAAATTAAATTTGTAACCTTAATTTTAATAATAATTCAAGGAGGAATTTCACTAAGATTATACTTGTCTTCAATCAAAGGTCTCTGTTAAAACAATTTCAAGTTTTTTAAATACAAGTGATATCAAAGCCCGTAAATAACTAACCTTTAGTATGTAATAAACAATAATAATAATAAGCAAGATCAATAAAGATCCGATGGAACCGATGACTACAGGTGCTAGTTTTCTCCCTAGCTCGTTAGTTATATCAAGTTCCTGCCTGTGTAAAATATTATATAATCTACACTTCCTCTCACAAACCTGTAGGTAGGACCTTAAAAGACAAGGAATTCACTTTCTATATAATTGTTTGAGATTACAAGAGATAAGAAGAGCGAAGAATAAAAATAACTTTTAAAAATCCATACTTAAAAAAAACACATAAATGACAGTAATAAAATGACAAATAAAAACTATTCCTTGAGTATTCTGACATCAAAAACGATATACTCGACATTTATACCGAGGCGAATTTCTCGGAGGATAAGAAAACCGATACAAAACCGCAATGTATAGAAAATAATGTTTATTCAAATGACATATTCCCTTTGAGTAGAATCATACAAAACAAGAAAATAAAACTAACCACTTTAAGTTATATTAATTAAATTTAATTTAAGAAAGTTGATCAAAACTAACACATTGAACTCCGAATGTAAATTACTGACCGAACCCGTGGGTCTGGAAAAAGCTCCATCAGACGTAAACCTAATCCCAAAGATGAATCTCTTCAGATCCGGATCTCTGAATGCATCAATGGAAGGTTTTTTTTTATTCTCATTCATCGGCTACAAGTGCAATATAATATAAACGATACAAATTAAATTCGGAATGGAACTCACACACTTATTCATAAACCGGTTTTTATAATTAAAACAAACAACTATTAGTTAGCGGAAGTTCTCTGATGCTATAATGTTATGTAAATTCTTGGATGAAAGCCAACAAAAGTCTAGGACCTACTTTTTTGAGTTCGAATCATAACGGGACCACATTCTGAAACCGTTTGTTTGTACCACAGACAATTATTAAATAAAGACATAAGGTGTACTTGTGAAACGTATTTATGTTCAATACGAATGTAACTGTTAAAATACAAGTGTTATTTATGTAACGGTTCTTTTTTCCATATACTACAAATTGACGTTCCCTATTGTATAATTTATAGAATGATTTAAAATAAATACAAATCACTAAGGATTTTATTGAAAAAAAAAAACTTGTGATCCCTGAAAGATAAGAGAAAGCGTAGTTAAGAGGTTAGAGAAATCGGCGAACCAGGGAAACATTACAACAACCGTAAAAAATAAAATATAAAAAGAACAATTCAAGCATTCAGAATTCAAAATTAGTCAAAACTTAGCTTGAAAATAAAATATTTTAAATGACATAAAGTTTGAAACGAAAAATAAATAAAGCTCAACTGTAAATATTTTATTTTTTGAGAATAACTATTAGAAAATCAACCTATTTCCAGTATTATTTGAGTCAACAGTTTTCGAAAATAACTGATATAGGGAATGAATAAGTTTCATTATTCATTATTCATTATTCATTGACACAATACACCTGACTAGTCAGGTAACTATGTATTGTATACCTGGTGAAAGCATCTTCCAGACATCCAAAGACCCTCCCTACCCAGGAGAGGATTTCAGGTCAATTGTTCAGCTTTTGTTGCTGTCGGGCCGCTACTATTTTACGCAGTCTATTGCAAGATTGCCCATTGAGTCATGTTTCAAAAGATATGGGGCTCTGGAGTAACTGATTAAATCTTAAGAGTCCAATAAAACGATATATATATAAAATAAATAATGTTAAGATGGGATGTTTTCTGAACAACAATGAAATCTCTAAAATGTATTTATAAGAAAACACCATCGGAAGTAAACGATGATTAGGTATATGTAAAACGCTTGAATATAAAAAAACAAAAACATCTCAAACTAAAGTGGTGGTAAGCAAAAACAAACATACCTAAACAAGTAAACCAGCTTGTTGACAAACAGATAAGAAACGGAAAAGATTGATATCAACAAAACACGTTTGGGAGTAGCAGCTAAAGAAAAAATAACGGGAACTAACACATACTTCCAGGGATTTGATAATTTCGACAATTAAAAAAAAAAAAAATATTTTAAAATATTTCTTCAATTGGCCTTTCGATAGAGTAGATTAGGCCAACAAAGAGGTAAGAATATTCAGAGAGTTATCGAATGTGGAATAGTAGGTTTCGGAAGAGAATGCAACCGCGATCACAGGCAATAGACCAAAGAGAGAACAAATGTCACATCTAACTGTCAACTGTAACTAACCCGAAAGCCAACACCGACGAAATCGTTATATAATTATCAGCTGATCGTGGGAGGATCAAGTTAACCACGCAAATGCTCTTTTAAATAATATTTCGTAATAAATATTAAGACACTGGTAGTACTGTCAAAATATTTACCCGTACTTCGATTAAAAAAAAGAAATGGTTTTTAAATCTTAATATTGACATAACTGAGATTTTTGTCAGATCAATCGAGAAAAAATGAGCGAGATTATTATTGCACTTCTGTGCATAGCACAATAATACGCGGATGACATGATTCGGTTGATCCTAACAAGGTGCTTTTGTCGGGGGATGTTAGGTATTGAATGGATTTAACAACCATTGTTGCAGTATGAAAAACGTTTGAATTCAATGCGACTTCAAGGACGAGGAATTTATGAATTGAAGAATAAGAAGAGCAATAAAGAAATAGTAAACCGAACCAAACCGGTATTGAACAAGTCACGTTAAGATTTCACTCACTGTATTCTACGGAAAAGATCTTTCACCACGAAAAAATAGAACCAGAAACCATTGGTTGAGGAATCGACAAACACAAAATAAACTTAAATTTGTGCAACAATTAGGCAAGTGGCACACCGGCAACACTTAATCAAGAGCTCTTCATTGATGGCAACCGGTAATGACGCCGCACCCTGTCCCAGGCTAATGAATGCAACCAGGATATAATTCAATGAAGACATTAAGGGACCAGGGCCTGACGAAACCGTTCTGAGATTCATGCATTCAAGTTAAACGAAAATAAAGTATCTATTTCATCACAGTGTAAAAAAAATTACTATATTAAATATGCAAATAAAACTAGCACATCTATCATGGAGAAAGAAAAATGATTGGAATGAAGTTTTCTCTCGAAGCAACTGTTACTATCGATATTTTCCAAAGAGATAGAATTATATTTTAGGATTTTTTTAGGAATGTAGAATTCCTTTTCAGAATAACAACTATATAACCGGTACTTTTACCCTAATGGCATTGCGTTATTTCATTTATGTTGAAATTGTAGGAATATCAATTTTAAATCAACATCGGCGATAGTTTAAAATATAACTCTTCAAATCCAAGTGCCACCTCGAAACGTATGCTTGGATTGTAACCGGGGGATTTCTTGGGAATTCCTATTTTAAAGATTAATCCGTTCCATTACATAATGTCCCTGAGATAACTTAACCAAGGATTCAAAAGTAGGACGAGAGAACCGTTTCGTTCAGCGGGTTGTCGACCCTCCCTGAGGTTCGATACCGTGCTGGCTGCATTACCTTCTGCACCGCGGTTCGTTCAATGAACATTTACGCGACAGCTTGAACAATGACGCTTGGAAAATAAAACTAATACTGTATACTTCTTCTTGTATACTCTGGCATAGGATGAAAACAAAGCCAACGTATACGTACAACACATGCAAACAAATAGCTTATTGTAGCAAAAGGTAAAGAAAAGCAAAGAAAGTAGGAGAGAATTCAAATGTATTTTGAGAAATATTTTAATCCTACTAGAACCAGATTTATTATTTTTTTAAATAATGGTAATTACTCAAGAAGATAAAGTGATAAAACTACTGTAAACTATTGTAAAAATAAAATGACGGATCCGTATGACATGGAAAGATGTTAAAAAACTATTAATACCATCTCTTACTGATTTGCGCTAAACAAATAATTTGTATGACTTTCACCAACAAATGTCGCAGTACAAGTGTCAAAGCGACCAGCGAAGAATACAGAGCATAAATAAATGAAAATGGCTAACTTTTTTCGGCATAAGCAATTAAAATTCTAACGCAATATGTACTGCTCAATAAGTGAAATCCCGAACAACCACAGATCAAATAAGATTTTGAAAAGTCGATTTGCAGATGAACGATTGACATCATATTGTTTTGCAATCTTATGCTTCCCATAATTGTCTCCATGAGATACCCTAAGTTACCGAAGAACAGAACAATATAGAAAGTGTCTAAGTGAAGATAGATTTAGATAACAATTGATTGTTTATTTAATCAAGAGGAAGAGCTTTTATCCCAATTGCCAATATGCAAAACTACAACGGTTTTAATTATAATTTATTTACTCTTATGATGTTAAAAGGTGACAATTAACTCTTTGAAACCCAAAGAAATGTACAATATTCTATTCTTACGACTCTTGATTTTGAGCATTTTTTCAAGTTTTAAAAAAAAATAATAAAACTGTAGGAGGACAAAAGTTTGTCCATTATGAATCTGCCTTTATCACTCCGTATAATAATGCTTCGACGAAATGACATTTGCTTTTTAGAACTTTTAAAATAGACGTCAGATAATTAACACTGATTGGTAGAAGAGCTGCATCAATCTTGCGAGTGACCTTGGTGGCCTTGAACTACGTCGAGCAAATTGCTTGCATTGACAATCGAAGGCAACTAATTGAACAATTGTCCCCAAAATGGAACTAGTAATTATCAGATAAATACAACTTCCTCATGCTGCCCTCAAGAGGGTGGCTGAACTCAAATATCTCGCTCTTCTTAAGATCAATAAACAAATGCAATGTACAGTTAATACAATCGAAAAAATATTAATAAAGTCCATATTATCAAAATGTATAATATCCTTGAGAAATCACTATACTCAAAATTTGTAGTCGTCCTTATCATGCTAAACAATAAAACAAATGCGTAGTTAATTAATATTAACATGACCTCACGACCTGGAATGACGAACAGGAATGGCATTAAGTTGTATGCGAATTTATATAAAGCCAAGTCATGCCAATGTTTGATTTTATAATGAGCTTTACAAGGTTTTATTAAACGTGCATGGAAAATGAGTTATTACATGAAAGTTTTTCGAACGATTATAAAATTAAAACCCATAAAAAAAGTTAATACAAGAAGACAATTGAACTGAGGTAAACTTAAATTAATGAACAACGCGATGTAAAAGACACCGCCGCAGGAGATAGCCAATCTCTGACAACGAATACTTCCTGCCGTCACAGTCACCGGGACCGTTTTGTGGTCAAAGTAGACCGACTTTGAAGGGCCTCAAGACACTTTCATACGGGTCGTACGACCGGTACACGGCCTTCATACGAGTCTGAAAGTATGTGGACAAGTTTGAGTTTGATGAACGCGGTGGGTGGTCGTGCCTCAGGTTCGATGTCTGAACACATGTGAGAAACATAAGAAAGACGAAAAAAAAGAACAGACGCCTGGAACTGAACTTGAAGTATACTTACAAGCGATTAACGATAGTTTCTCGGAAGAAAAGTATAAAGTAAAATAATCGACTATTGTAATTTCATAATCAACAAATTTTTACCAGTTCAAAATAAGTCGATAGGACAAATTAAGTAGTGAGGTCAACATTGTTCTAACCGCCGATTTATCCTCTCAACTACGAGTCAAGAACTCATTTGAGGGTCGGGTCCAGAGAAAGGTTTAAGTTGAATCCCGATCCTTTTTCAAGAATTAGAACAAGGTGGAGACTATTACTGTTACTCGGGAGGCACTACAAGGAGGGCTGGATTGAAAAAATTAAAGGATTAAAAAATAGCTTTTCACGGTACTTTAAACATTAAACGTACTTAACCATTCGTTTCAATGCAAAGTACATAGACACCCATTGAGATTAATGTAAGGGAATATGTGAGTGAAAAATCCGTTTCATAAACAAGGGTTTAAGCAGACTGCGTGGCACCTGACCCAATTCGAGTAGTAAGAAACAACCGTGGATCCATCCAAATTGAAAAATGTACAGGAATCGGGAGTTTATCGAGTAGCCGGAAGCGGCGGTCAATCCACTACCTTCATCTTAGCAAAATACACAAGTTTCTTGCCAATTCTAATTAGATTCGGAATGGTTGAGGTTAGAAAGAAATCCAACGCGCATTTCCACGCAGCTACCTTGCTTCAAAAGAAAACTTTTTTCTAATTGGGTATATTGAAATGTGATCCTGTCCAGACCAAACGATAGGAAAGTTTTAATGGTTAAGACATTTCTAAGGAGTTGATTCCTGGAGGAATAAATAGCAATTGAGTATATGGAAGATGGTTCTCTCGACGTAATGGATTAATTACGTACACTACCGTTGTTAGGTTTTGGAAATTTTCTTCTTTTTTTAAGTTTTTCACGTTAGATTTTCTCTGATAGCTGATACAGTTTCTTCAGGAAATCATTCATATTCCTCCATGGGGACAGAACCCATATTCTGTATAAGAGACCTCAGTGCCAACAAGAGCGAACGTGACTTTAGTCATCGTCATCAAATAACCAAAGATATTAATTGTCTTGATCTCAAACCAATACTAAAACTACTCAATGATGAATACATCTTCATAAGTTAGGTCATAAAATCAGAACATAAAACAATAGATAAAGAACTTATTATTTTGAGTTTCAATGTTTCAAAACAGGCACCATCACAATGTAATATGTCAGTATAATCCGTTTCACCATTAAAACCAAATAAGATAGGATTTATGACACCAAAACTCAATAAATAAAACCATCTTTATAAGATTATCTCGTTTTAATTAAAGGATTCACCAACCATGTAAGATGTTTATATGTTTGAATCTCACATTTCAGCACAAAACCTCAGCAAATAAAGAAAAATGAACTTCGATTCGGGCAAAAGGCATCATTGGTTCTAAAAATTAATTCCGATTATGTGGATCTCACTATTTGGCCATTTAAGGCATACAACAACAGACACGAAGCCAAGTAATTAGGATTGTGGATTACCCAAGTAATTCTTTCCCTCGGTGTGATTTTGTGATGGAAACAACTTTAAAATTATTCAAAAGTTAAGCTCTTTTATAAATGAGCACTATTTCACGATTGGTGAGGCATTCCATCGTAAAACGCCGGATTCCTTGCGAATGATTGGAGTTTGAGTTTTTTAATTTGTTTCTTAAAGGAGTGTGTGTGGTAAAGTGGTTAACAGAGTTATGAAAATGTAGTAAGCTATTACTAGTGGAAGGTAAAAAGCATTGTGACTAAACATTGTAAAAAATTCATTCTGTCAGTTAACATATTTTATGACAGAGTGCATTCCTCAAATATCAATTTTTAAAGTAAATTAAAAAAAACAACCTCGGAGCAGAGAGCTGAAATTCTTCAATCATCTCCCATCTAAGTACGAGTATGACATATTTCCTCTTCTTGAGAAATGACCTCTTCTCTAAAATTAATACTTAAGTCAATTAAGTACCATAATCAGTTCTTTATCGATCAAACTAGCAGTTTAATACTAACAGTGGTTTAAAAAAAGAATGGGTACGAGTCGACAGCCAAAGAACGAAGGCATACGACACAGTACCAAGTTGAAACTCACATTTTGTTTTTTCCTTATATCTCCGATATTACCTTCAATATATTTTGGTGCAAATTGAAGCATAAATTAGAACATACAATACCATCATTCAATACGAGTACAAATATTTAAATAGATATACTTTACAGGTGTCATTCTAATAGCTGGCACAACATCGTATGATCACACCATCATAAAATCCCGAGAATGGCCGAGTGTATCCGAATTCGGACTCCGAAAGTAGACTGAAAGGGTCAAACTGCCTGGTAAGGCCCCGACTTCAAAAAAATAACATAACCATGTTATTAAAAGTAATTAACATCCTGACATCAAATGAAAAGGACCAGTGGTGAGTTAAATGAAGTTATATATCGCGATCTTAATATAAAGGGGTTTCACAGCGAAGGCGTCAATCATGGAAATCCCATTCAGACCATGAACAAGAATATCACTCCACTCGAGAAGGTAGAATGATATTTGTAGTGTTACCAATATTTTTTTTTGGTGAAGTTCATGGGCAGTATTTTATTACTGGCAGGAATGAAACTGTATATAATTTACACAACCTAATAAAATTTCTGATTTATAGTTTTATGGGAGAACTAGGTAAAAACCGGTCAACCGGAAGAGTAGCGCATCCTGGTGAGTAGTTCCGGTTCTTTCCGTTCAATAGAAAGAAAGTTCCATGCCAACATATCAGGCTAGGAAAACAAGTTGAGAGAGAAACTCTCAAGTTCAATAAATTCCAAACTGAATATGTTATCTCTATGTGATAAAGAGACTAGATTAAGTTTCGATAATGACTTAATCCAAAAAGCAAATATCAAGTCTGGATGATCCAATAAACGAAAAAAAAAAACTAAAAATAAAACTAATGGAAGATCCTAAATAGGTTGCAATTAAAAATAAGCAACAGCCAGACACATTACTATTGAAACTGCATTATTAAGAATCCATTATTTAACAAATTATCAAATGAAATATGATTAAACAAAATTATGTTTAAAAAAATGTAGCATGACTTTGTATTTACATTGTTGAGCTTTATAATGAAAAAAAAAACCGCGTGTTGTATATGCATGTTTATAAACTGCTTAAGCATGAAATGAAATAATAATCCACAATAATATAAGCAAATCAATGGAAAATAAGGTTTGAAAAATATTGGTTTCACTTATCAGATATCTTGATAAAACAATACAATAATTTTAGAAATAAATATTAGATTCTCTCAATACAATACACAGTTATAGATGAAGTACATAAACAGGTAAAATTGTAGATGAGAAAAATAGTGCAAGATATGACAGTAAATGTTTATGATCTTTCTTAAAGTGATTAATGTTCAAGAGTAATATAGACATAATAAATACTAATATAACTGAGTAAATTAACTAGTAGACAAAATATAGGTAAATGGTATTGTTTATCAGTACACTATAAGACCTTTCTATAGAGGTCTCGATTGATAAGTTTATCATAAAATTTAAATTGCACCAACCTGAAGGGATATGCTTGTAATATAAATATCCGTGACTAGAAATGATGGGTGAAGAAAGGGGTGACGAAAAACACCGGTCGGCGAAGATAGAACTAACCTGGTGAGAGGCAGTGACTTGAGAGCGAGCTAAAGCCTCCCTCCCCCCCGATGACGTGGCGCCCTCCCATTGGCCGCCTCCAGTCACACCACTCCAACTCAGCTGGTATCGCCTGATGCTGCTTTGGTACGGTTGGCGAAATGTTGGCACGTAGGTAGCCGTCCTGTACCCGCTCTTCCGATGCGGCTCCTTTCATATCGAGGCATTAAAACGTGATTAACACGTGCTAAAAGGGACCCGTTATCTGTTATTTAAACACGTTTTCCGGTTCCTAGTGTTTTCCAAACCCAAGCAAATATATATTTTTTTAACCGCTCATCGATTTTTGGCGGTGTCGTTATTTATTTGAAAATGATACATTAAACCACTGTTGGATGTACTTGGATGGGAGAAAAGCTTTCGGGCTAAATCGACTCCAAATTTAAAATATATATATATTTTTTTCATTGATCCATATTTTTTATGTTCGTGATCTAATAGTTGAACAATCACAATATATTCTCTTTTTAAATAATGCATGTACAGCTATTTAACGTAACAAAGTTTAAATAAAAAACGTAAAATTATCTCTATAAGTATTGTTGTCCCTATAATTACCATATATATATTTTTTAAAGGAGTTCGTAAAGAATTGAACATCATACCGTATAGATTGTTTTTTGTTTTTTCATCTGAAGTAGTAGTTATCGTAATTTAAAAAAAAATATAAAAATTATCCATGTGAAGGAAATAAAAGAAAAGAAGAATCATACCTGATTATAAATTAGTGTAATTGATGTATTTGATTTTTACAATAATTAAATGATTTGCCTTCAAACCGATAGTAATTGTTAAGAAACTATTTCATATTTGTTAAGTTTTAAATCTAAACTTTTTTTTGGATACTAGCACAAAAAATATTTTCTTAGCGTATCGTTATTTGTATTACTGTTATGTTTGTATTACAGTTATATCATGTACTATGTTCCCATTTTGTTTCTTTTCTTATTTACACACGTTTGTTTTTGTCGTTTTTTTCTTTTTACTTGCATTGGGTTGAAACATCGGCAATTTTAATAAACATTGACTACGTATCCTGATTATTTTTCATCCTTAAAATTTCAATGGTCAATTGTATTATATCCACCTCTAGATTTTTCATTGGATGCTCAAATAATCGAATTTATTTATCGATACGAAATAGCAAAAATTATAACTTCTTCCTAAACGATATAAAATATATCTCCTCATACATTTCCTGACAAATTAAAATTATTAATGTTGATATAATTGAACAAAATCAGTTTTCTTCTATAAGGATGTATAAATAGAATGAACAAAATAGTTTCTGATAGTCGAGAAATCATCTTTTTTTTCTTTCTTCTTGGAAGATAATTTGTATTTAATACCCGCAATAAATCACGATTTTTAAAATATATATGTTGACTTAATTCTTGGATCTGATCCATTTTAACGTCATTTGTATATAGCATAGTTTCCGGTGCCTTTATACTCTGTGACCTTGAGAAACGAAAATATTTGTTAGATCACTTCTATGCCACGTGATCTCCATATCCCCCTAGTTCACTAGCTTTTGATGTACGTGCAACTGAGACGTTGTTTACTGTTTGTTCGAAATCATTCGATTTACAGACACTTTCACATGCCGAATTGAACAGGTGTGAAGGTGTTGTTTTTCTCCAATTGCTTAAGTTTGTTTATTAGAATGACAACGGTGTTTTTTAAGATCATTTGCAAACAACGCTCGTGTAGACAAATTATGGATTTAAGTGACCAAACGATTTGTCGAAATGCGTTGTTGTTTCTATACTTAGGCGGCGGTATTGGGGTAAGTGGTTTTCTATCCTTTACCTTCCATTATTTTATGAATTAAGACCAGAGTTTCACTGACCTTCCAATATTTCACAGCCGTTTACTCAAGAAATAACTCACAAAAAAGTTCAATAAACCATGCAAGTAATAATTATGTTATATTACAAGTAATAAACTGATTGCTGGGGTACTTCATGCATGTTGTTCTAACGTTCCCTCATCTCATCGAAATTTCTAAAGTACCGGTACTAATGGTTTCAGACCTGACGAGTAACTAGTTGATTAGTTAAAGATAACCCAGGTTTATGACCACTCTAGAAAACTTAAACCAATGTTGAATACCTGTATATCTGTATATATATAAGAGATTTGTTAAGGTGGGTTTACTCCGAAATTTTACTAGATTACAATTTTCTAAATGGTAAAAGTAATTTTGTTAACAAAACTACTCCTTACTGTAGTCTATAACGAAATTCTATCAACATTGTTATTCACGTCCATGTTTCTAATTAAGAAATATTCTGTCTGGCTGTATGAATATTAAATAACGAAATTTTATTTAATTGCGTGAATTACGCCAATGCGACCGATGCGGCCCACAGCATATGCAGCAGAGGTTGCGGAGGGCGCAATGAATAGACATTTCAACCAAATAAAAAATAATCTTTTTTAAAGCATTATTTACTGATTTGCTGTTGGTGTAATTATGTTCTAATTGGTATATTTAATATTGAGTTCGAAAAATGTTGCTAAAGGAATAGTGATAAGTTGTGCTAAAGGAATAGAGATAAATTTGGTTATCTCTTCTAGAACAGGGAGGGGCATACAGGAAAAACGCTTGTATTAGAGCACTGTCCAGCTTAGTTACGCCATTAATTTTATTAGCATATTATTCAAAATGGAAGTTGATAACGTTTATTTATTCGACCGGCTCCCACAGTTATCATAAATTTTATATTATTGATAATGTTATTAACATGTCACTTATAGTAATAACGTTGGTGATACCGAATGTATTTAATAGTTGTAAACAACAAAAACATTGTTGTGTAACAACAATGATATTAACATTTTTTCCAACGATTTACATGTAAGAAACTTTAAGTTATTGACATTTTTTAGAGCAAATATTTAAAAAATGTTAATAAAATGGAAATAACTCGTGTTAATTAAATACGAACGGTCATAAAATTCGAGAAATATCATTTGTCTTTATTCGTTCAATTTCATTTAGATTCTTAATATTTATGAAACATTAATTGTGAAAGTAAGAAATGTGCAGAGTACCGAAATCTCCTAAACATAAATATACGAGTCTGAAAATAAGGGTGTTTTTTCTTACTTTCAGTATTATTGCACAGTCTACCTATTTAAACGAAACATTAATTTTTTAAGTGGCTTCCATTGAGGACATAAGAATTGTGTTGCTTTACCAAAAGGTTTATTGGCATTAAAAAATCTTTTATTCAGCTGAAGAGAAGCTAAAATTAGTTATTAATCAATAGTTCTTTTTAAAGACTCAAAGTATTGAATGAGACCTATATATACTATATTGAGCGATAAACTGCCGACCTACCAATAGGTCTTTCCTTAAATAGAACCCCTTAAGAACTTAAATGCCATTAAAGACGAAGTTTAAAAATAAAACATAAATTTAGGAAGATATTTTTCAAATTGTCAACATTAATTTGAATTCAGTTCATGTTTGAAATCTTATGCTGCTTATGTTAATTTCATCATTTGATTTACAATTTTAATTATTTTTTATTAAAAAAATTCATGGACAGTTCAAAGTAAATTTTTAGAAACCGTGATAAGAACAGCATTGATTATGAGTATGAAAACTTTTTCATTAATCTATGAAACATTCATGATCGAAAAAAAAAATGAAGTAAATATATTTATAAAATAACTTTAATTTATTACATTCTTGAAGAGTTGAATTTTTTTGGGGGAACTTTATTTTTGTCTATACTGTGTCGTTTCAATTTGGAGGGACTTTCAAACAAGAAAACCAGGTAAAACGGAGAAACATACAACAGCAGGTATAGTCCTTCAATGAACTCCGTGTTTTGTAGTTATACTTTCTCTCGCACCGTTTTTAAGAAGAGGAAACAATAAAATTTCTTAAGAAAGTAGTTCATGTGCTATGGACCTTGTGAAAGGTGGGAGAGGGAATGGTCCTCCTGTATATTATTAAAATATCTAAACTATTTGAAAAACCCGTCAAAGAAATTTATCAGTTTGATTTCAAAATACTATTTAATATTCTTTGCTAAGCGTTAGTAAAACAGATTTCCATCCATTTTCTACATAAAAATATGTTAAAATAACATCATAGGGATAATGTTCATGCAGATGCTCTCTGCTGTTCTTGTTTTTTTTAAATAGTAAAATAGCATTAAATCGGTAGTAGAAGATCTAGATTTTTATTATTACAATTATAATTGATTCATACTTATTTGTAATTGATTACATTATCCTACAGTTAATATTTGATCCTTTGGTTTGGGATTGAAAAGTTTATCGTCTTTGGCACGAATATAACCGCTATTATCCGTTATTGGCTCCAGTAAATCCTTCCACGATTTTTATGTTTAGAGCCAGAAATAAACCTGACAATTTAGGGATAAGTAATATGTCACAAATTCTTCGAAAATAATTTCAAAATATAGCGATTTCTGATAGCCCTTTTTAGTTTTGATTCTTCTATCTCTTAAACTTTCGCGTCTTACTTTTTTTACAACAAACTTTCGAAACCAGCAACGAAGTTTCAAACCTCAGGCCAGTTCCCCAGATCCCTCTTATGTGGCCAGTCTTAATTTAGCAGAATACTGCTGTAGCGTTCTGTTCCGGCTATTTTCGATCCATCGTTATTTCAGGGCTACTCAAAGCGGGGCCCGTATATCCCAACCGTGATCTTTGATGTAAGTTTTGAACGCTTTGTAAACCTATCGATGGTTACACATTACTTTAATAAAGAACTTTTTGTACAATAATTCTAAACAGGCCAGCTCTGTTTTTCTTAATTTGAATCTCCAATTAGCCCATCTTAATTATCTCATTGCCCCTTTCTATGGTTTCTATAAAAACCTTAGAGAAAGACTATGGATTCTCTATCGCTGCTTTAATCAATGAGAGTAATGATATTTGTGAACCATAATTTCATATTATTCTATATAATACTCAATCAAACAATATATTTTAATATATCTCTTCAGCTTCTAATACGTCCCAATATGGATGAGCTTAATAATAAGTTTGGCCAATGACTAAATAATTTCGGATGTTTGTAATTTTTTTTTTATTTGATCTAAACAATATGAAAATTATAGCGAACAAATGTGTCATCAATTAAAAAAAAATCATATTTTATCCAAACTA